GTTTTGGGTTGGAAGGGACCCCTAGAGGTCACCCAGCCCAAGCCCCCTGCAGGAGCAGGGACACCTTGAACCACATCAGGTTGCTCACAGCCCCGGCCAACCTGGCCTGGAATGTTCCCAGGGATGGGGCCTCCACCCCCTCTCTGGGCAACCCCTGCCAGGGTTTCACCACCCTCACTGGAAAGAATTTCTTCCTTAGATCCAGTCTAAACCTCCCCTGCTTCAGTTTAAAGCCATCCCCCCTTGTCCTGTCCCAGCTGGCCCTACTAAAAAGCTTGTCCCCCCCTTTCCTCTGGGCCCCCTTGAAGCCCTGACCGGCCGCACTCAGCTCTGCCCGCAGCCTTCTCTTCTCCAGGCTGAACACCCCCAACTCTCCCAGCCTGGCCCCATAGCAGAGGGGCTCCAGCCCTCGGAGCATTTTAGTAGCCCTCCTCTCGCGAGCAGAGGGGCACAATCCCTCGAATCACCTCACCTTCTTCAGAGGGAAGTTAAGAGACAGAAGCAGCAGAAAGGCAAAAAGAGGCCAGGCTGTAGGCATCAAATCCTCCTTGTTGCCGTACCCGGTGCTTTAGGCACTTTCCGTGCAGGGACTTCTGTTATCCCTAAACCTTGAAAATCCACCTCCTGCCCCTTTTCTTCCCCCCGTGCCCATGAAGCGATGGTCCCACGGCAGTAATAGAAATGGCACAGCTCGATTCAAAACCCACGCGGAAGGTGGACCAGGCGCAGAGGAAGCCATCGTTACAAATGAAGCATCCAGCTACAAAATAGTATTTAGGAGATAATAGCCAGCAGGTGAATCCAGAACAAATATATAAGCAAAACAAACAAAAGGTGATAATTTCATAAAACCAAAAGCATCTGCGGATTTTTGCAAAACTCTTTATTAGCCTTTAAATGAAATGGCAGTACTGGTTACAGTTAACAGTCTCACTGAAGGAGACTGTTCAGATACAACAGTACTCTAAGTTTAATTAAGGGCTGGCAAAACTGACTCGTATCTGCTTTCCCTAGAAAATGGAATTCAACTAAACCAGCAGATGATGTAAGATTAAATGCAGCAGATTATTCTTCAAAGGCATAATTTAGCACGTGTAACATATCTATATGATGATTCCTCACCATCAGCCACCTGTAGGAACTTTGGTTTTCATCGACTAGAAGGTGAAGATAATTCTAACAGAAAATGAGAATTAATGTTTAGATGCATCTTTTCCCCTTATTCTGTATGGAAGATACACCTGCCCCCTAGCTTCAAGATGGGCATGTAGATATAGTCTCAAATATAAAAACTCAGGGAACACTATGAAATACTAGAAATTTGGCCAGGATATACAACTCCACTTTCAGTAGTTTCACAATTTACAGCACTGCAGATTTAGCTGATCTCAAGTGCATTACAATCCAAGCTGACAGAACCCCTTTACAAGTAAAAATTAACCTGTTCCAAAACTCCTCAATTAATAGCAAGTGATTCTGATAGGCTTGATTGACATACCTTAATTGAGGGAGAGGAGGACGGACAGTAAGAGAACAAGGGATAAATACAAGTTTAATCATCCATTCTCCTGTAAAAACCTCCCTGTAGGCAGATCTTCCTACCTACACAAAGACTATGAATTCCAACTTACGTGTCCATTCAGCGTGCATTGCCTTGGGCCCCAAACCTGTCCCTTCTGTGTTTAGAGACTATGAGCCAAACCCGAACCACCTGCATGTAAGGTCTTCACCCTCCAACGGCCAGTACACATACCCCTGTACCACTCCAGTGCAAGAAGCAAACACCTTTCATCGTCTCCGAGCACTTTAAGCCGAAGTCTCCTAGACTTCAGATAACAAAACTAACAGAACAGCGTTAATGAAAAACCTCTTACAGATTTATGTACGATACGTTTACTAAGAGATGCATCTACAACGCGCAATTCCTACCGATGAAGTGTTATCCCAGCTCTTGCATGGACTGACTCACTGTAAGCAATTCCAATCAAGCCATTAAGACTTCATCATGTCTGGGATGTGCCAGAGCAGCCCTATTGACATGGAACAGATTCCTCTCCCGAATCACCGCACAAGTAAGCTCTTCTGTGCTACCCATTAACTGGCTGTGACCCGTAACCTTTATCCACTAATATGGAAGAGCCAGTTCCCACTCTGAATGAAATTTTCTGTAGTCATTCTTTGGTCTAAAACCAAAACATGGGAAAATGCTTTCCCTTTGAGAAAAGCAGAACAAGAGTAGATATTGTTGCGGCCTCAAAATGAGTAAAATTTCCTTCCCTGGGGCAGAGCGCTAGCCTGGTAATTAATTATACTTTCTCCAAGAGTCAGACAGAAGACGAAAATAAGAAGCAGCGCTTTCGTAACTGAAGGGAAGGACAAGAGAGATTGTGGTTCGTGATACTTCTGTCCTACAGCCTCATCACATCAAGGAAAACAAAACCTGGCAATTTTCAGGCTGCTACAGCCAACTCCACCATTGCATGCCGTATTTTCTTCTCTTGTACTCTCCAATTAGTTTGCCAGTATTAGCCCATTTCTTGTACAGAAATGACAAAATGTTTTGGGGCAAAGTGCTTTTTCCTAGGACCCCTAGAATGCCCTTATGACGAACACCTCTCATTCTGGACCATCCCTTACTGGAACGATCATCATAATCGCAACTTGCTACATACATAACTTTCAATTTTGCTTAAAGCTGCATCAAGGAGCTCACCTCTATCTCCTAGGGGCTCTAAATTCTTGCATAATTACCAATCCCTTAGTATTTGCAAGAACAAGAATATTGATAATTAGAAGCATTCCCAAGAGGACTCCAAGGAGTTATTGGCAGAACTCATTCTACTAACGCTTAAAGGAAAAATAACTTAATGGCATCATTTTTAACCTTGAGCCATACAGTATGTTTATACAATACTTGTTCATAGGCTCATCTAGCAGCATTTGTTTGCACTTCCCTCTACCCCAGAGCAATGGGAAAAGGCTCAGGGTCTGAACTTTCACAGATATTTTCAAATGTAGTCGAACTAATTAAAGTTGTGGATTTTATATGTCTTCTTGGCACGCTCTTTTTGGATACACAGAACCATTTTCCAGGGCATGAATATCCTGGGTGATAATACTGAAAACCAAACTCAGACTTCAAGAGGTTTGGAAAGCCATATTATCATTTTAAAACATGGAAAAACTTCCTTTACGTCTACAAAACAGTCTGAGTAAGGGGTGTTGTAGTGAGAACACCGTAGGGATCCAAATTACTTTAGCCTGCAGTGAATGCAACTGGAGAAAAACTGTGCTCTTGTCAGCGTTTTCAGAGGCATTCGGCACACTGCTGAAGAACAACATTTATGGATTAACAATCCACAGGCTGAACTGGAAGCACTGGGAATCTAACCTATGTGGCAGGTAGCATGAGCAGTAACCTAAAAATCCAGAATGCCAATATCCAGCTCTTGAGACAGTTCAGCTGTAACAGGGGTTTTTTGCCCCCTTGCATTCATGTAAGGCACCTACTTCCTCCACATGAGTCTGAGGCCACTGGAAGAAACAATGACTGAGGTAGGTGACACTATAAAATAACTGAGATGAAATGGGAAGGGCTCTGACATGACAGTGGTTGGCCAGTTGATATGCCTAGAATGGCGATAGTGCTGATCATAAAAAGCTAGCTGTACTGCAGCGATGGTGGGGTGAGGGCCACTTACATTCATGTTTAGAAATCAATTTACAGCAGCACACACTGTACCTCCAAAGTTCTGTACCTCCAAAGTTCTGCAGGCCCAAGCATTCGGGTAGGTTAATGGTAGCGTGCTGTTGACTTCTGAGAGTACATGAATGCTTTACACAACCATTTCCAGGACACGCAGTTACCCTCATGAACAGTGTTAGCACTTCTTAACTCAAGCAGAGGTCACATCTTTAGATGCTAATGCTACGGGAGAAATCTAGAAATCTTGGCACAACAAGAGCCAAAAATAATTCCATTAACACAGTTTGGTCTGCTGTTCTTGAGTCACACTTTTAAAAAAAATCTAAATGAACCAAAGACTCAGCTTTATGAAGTCCGTACAGAACAATATCCAGAATAAGATCTAGTTGCTTGTACAAAATAATTTAATATTAAGCACTTCAGTAAAGTATTTACAAGGTTACTGCAAAGCATTATACTAAATTTCAAACAATGTACACGCCAAAAAAAATACGGCCATTAATTACTGGTTAGTAGTTTTGTTTCACCTCCCTGCCACAGCAGCAAGACAGTTATTGTTTACAGAAGATCCAGTTTTTGGTACTCGTAATGGTATCTGGGGAGAAAGTGGTATCAAAGTTAAATACTATCAGTAAAGCGGCACATTCTCCAGTGTAAGCGAAAGCTCATTGATCTGACAAGCTGTTCAGATGCTCAGTAGATATCTACGCTATCATTTGTTTGGGAGAATCTGAACCTTGTAGGTCAATTGCCAGTGAGAAGAGAACAATAGTTTTGAGTGTCTGTACATTTCTAATGAAACAGAGCATCATCTGAAAGACTCCCCTGAGCAGAGATGAAAAAATTCAGCATAAAAAAACCACCACCTTCAGGCAATCTGATTCCTGATTCCCAGTCTCCTCTAGAAAAGCAGCAACAAAACCAAACTTTTGTTCTGACACCACCACTTGCTGATCTCCGAGATCCACTTGCCTACCAAGTACAACCTATATTCTGTATTACCACAGTTCTCTTGGGCTCATGACTTAACATCCTTGTCATCCTTGCTCTTTGATCTGTACGGAAGCATCAGATGATTGTCATTAATTAACACATGTACACACTTAAAAGCACTTCCCTGCATTCTGGATGCTGTCTGAACGCAAATCTGTAATAAAGTAGGAGAGTATTTGGACCTAGGAAACTGCAGCTCCATTGGAAATTTGCATATATTCAGTATCTTTGAAAGCTATTACGCTAACACAGTATCTCTGTATTAAATTAAAACAGCATAAATGACAAATGTAACTTGCAGAAAACTTGCAGACATTGTCTGTAAAGAACTACTGTAAACTTAGGAAGACCTATGCCATCCAGTGGCACACTGAGAAACTTCAAGAGAGACTGGAATGGGAGGGGATTTTACCTCTACGGTAGTGATGAGGCACTTTTGTACACATTTCTCATTTTTGTTTAACCAAAATCTAGGAAGTGAAGAAAGGAACTTCCCCTATGTTAAGGGTCTCGGGAGAAAAGAACAGAAACCTTTAGAGAAAAACTGACATTTTTTAAAGAAACACATACCTTATTACATGAACTACTTTCAGGGGGGAAAAAAATACTGGATGCTAAAGAGCCCAATTTAGCTGAGAAAGATAAAAACCACACCAGTGGCTGAAAGCTGAAGTCAGACATAGACTTCACCCCAGACACAGACTTCACACAGACACTCACCCTAGAAATAAGGTGCAGGATAATAATTTACTAAACAAGCTGGTATCTTTTCTAGGGATTCTCCATACCAGCAGTGAAGCTCGAAGTTGCGTTTAGGAGTAACTTGAAGGGGTGCAGATATTCCCACAGTTACCTAGCAGCACCTTCTGGCCTTAACGATCTAACCTATGACGTGGCTAGATCGTATTAATTCCTATGCCAGAGATCCTTGGAGGAGGAAACGCTAGTATAGTTTGCTAGCAAAGTACTTTGCACAGGGATGATGTTAAAGTCAGAAATTTCAAGTTTTCAGCGTCTTTTACTCTTTAGCCTTGTGATTTTTCCAAATATTCAGACTTAAACCAACTCTTTAAACACTCAGATAGCCATTTACCAATTCTATATTCTGTTACCTTCAGGCACTCCTTCAGGGCGGCAGAACGCTTTTGGGTTAACTGGCATTTGGTGAAGCTGGGAAGGCCTCAGGCGCGGTGAAGTTCTGACAATGGAGCAGATTTCTTGCCTGCCACACAGAGGCTGAAAAGATGAATGACATTTCATTCACACAACTATTTCCATTGAAGAAACAGTCTTCTAGCTTTCTTCTAGGGAAGTTAGAGGGGACATGCACATTTCAAAGGATATCATTAGAAAACATTTAAGACTACTTGTGTACACTTAATAAGCTATCGGAAAGGGTGATAGAAAGCTTCAAAGCTTAAACGTTTTCTTCAGCTGTTTGTAATACTGTAAGGCTTTAATATATAGTACATTACATACTAGCATGCCGAAACTGGATTTGAAGAGTGCAATAAAGTTAGAACCTGAAAAATATTCTTTTCTTCTGAACTTTGAGGAATAATTTCTTTTTCTGAGCTCAGAGATGCAGGAACAATTTCTTCTGAATTTACATATGGACCTGTGGTATTCAGGAATAGGTCTTCCCCAGGTGAGGCTTTGCACACTGGTGACAAGCTAAGCTACAGCTCCGTCAAAATACAAAACATACAGCAATAACTGCCCAATTAAATAATCGACAACAATTCAAATTGACCAACGCTTGTTGGCTCATGCAAAAGGTGTTCTATTGCTTCAAAAACACGACTTAGGACTCCAGTCATTCCCGTCTTAGGCCTCCAACAAGACCCCGATGTTCTCTATTTGTTAATCTAGTATCCATAAACTCAAGTATGCTTGCAGCAACACTAGGAAAGCCCAGTATCTTTTCCTGCCAAATAATCTGCTGCAAAATTAAGCAGTCTTTCTATTGTAACCGTTGCCCTTTTTCTAAAAAAACATACAGTTTGCTGATTTGGTTGGGAGCTATGGCACGAACGTGACAGAGGTGTCACTTCTATGCCTGCAGAGAAGCAGTAGTGCTATACTGCCTTCGCTGACAAAGAATTCAAGCTGGCATTTAAATATCTACTTTGTATCAAAGGGGTAATGCAAGTAAAGCTACTAGGTGCTGGTTTTACATTGGAAGGTGTTGCAAAAATACAAAGCAGATACCTAGGGTTTTTGTTGTATTTCTTTAACTGTCCAACTGATTGAATTTAACATGTAATTTGTTGTGCAATTTGTCTTGTTGCATAAGCATAACCAGAATTGGACTGTGCCATGAAGAATGATCTGTTTGGTTTTAATAATTAAAAAAAGTATGAGGATAGACACTCACATCTAGCTCTGCAGGCTGAGCATAACCAAGGGGTTTTAGGGCTTTATTTGCCTCCGTGATCAGCATGGTGGAACTAATTTGCTAAACAAAACCAGAGAAGAATTCAGTATTAGTTTCCAAGTGTTCATTATCAGTCCTACAGTATTTCCCTAGTAGAAAATACCATTTGTAACAACTCCATTTAGAATTACTAATAGTTCTTAGGGTTTAACTACTGAATTCCTGTCATTCACTTTTTTTTTTGGTCTTACGCTCTCCAAAAATTAAGACAAAGAATCAGTTTACTGCAGCACAGGACACACACACCGCAGGACCCCTTCAGCACTAGGGGATAAAGCACTTCCTACCACTTCTCCTATTTAATTGTGACTTTTGTCATGATTCAAAACTCTCACTTCAGTTTTATGCCTTTGCTAATCAGCGGGGCACAATGGGAATACTTACCACCACAGCATCTGTCCTTTTGGATGGCAGTACTTCTGCTGTCAGCCCCGCTGGTTTGGCTGAAGCATCTCCTGGGGCATCGAGCTGACTAAGCGATGACATACCTTCTTCTAACATAGTAGAGTTTTTTTCTTTTTTCTTGCACTTCAGACTTTTTGGTTTAGCAGTTTGATTGTCAGGCTAAAGGGTGAAACAATTACATTTTGTGTTACAAAGCGAGTCTGGATAGTGCGGTAAGCACTAGCAGAGTCCCACTGTCATGGTCGAGCTCTACCCAACCGATTCGGCACCACTGACGCAGTCAGTCTGAAAACCAGCGAGCCTCGGGGGCACCCATGACTGTTACTGCTATCCAGAGGTAAAGGCGAGCTACATTTTCACTCTCTGCCTGCAGGCACCCCTTTCAAGGGAATGACTGCACTTCTAGGTGGAGTCTTCCAACTATACAAGGAAGGAGCAAGTCATCCATCTTACAATCTGGCTGATTTATTAAGGATCTTTCACCTTTCTTTGCGGTCCTAACGGTGAAGAACAGCGCATACCAGTTTTTAGGTCTGGAGTTCTCTCTCTTGCAGCTGTAATTTTACAGACTTTTTTTCCTGTGATAAATTTCCAACAAATTAATTAACTTTGAGACAAAGACCACAGCTACTCTCCAACCCACATCTTGCAAGATGGTTTTCAAAGAGGGATCATTCCAAAGCCACCCACGTTAACACACTTTCTCCCTTCAATATAATCCTCATCTCCCTCTTCCCACCAACAGGGCCACTTTATTCCTCTCCCTTTCCTTGAGGAAATGAGGTTGCTTATTAATCTTACACTCACATGGCTATTTACTGCTAGACACACATACTGTGGGAGCAGAGGAATTGCATAATCACAGCAGTCTTTGCCAGTGGCAACTTCTGCTGCTGTTACAGTCCAAATTAAGCAGGGGAAAATTATGTGGTACCTGGGCCGTAGCCAGAATTGCGTCAGTCACAGTTCAGAACTGTAGTTACATGAGGGACTCATAATATTTGTGAAGCTCATATGAACTAAGTTCAAGTAAGGAGCATGACACAACAGTTTTGTTCCTGGATAAGTTAAATAAGAAATGCTAATTTTCATTGCACAGGTGATTAAATGGAAAAATGCAGGGTTTGGGGTTTTTGGTTTTTTTTGTTCTTCTCTTAACACATTAATTAGAAACAAATCTTATTTACAGGGAAGATTTTCAATTCACACTTTCCCTTCTAGACACAATTGACCTATGCCAGGGGGACAAATGACCCCATGGAAGCCTGGTTCTGATATTTTACCATCATTTAAGCTTGGGTAGAATATCCTCTTGTCTCGCCACTAGTACCAAGTGCTTCAGGTCATACTTTACCTGCCAGAGTAGTTGAAACACTTAATGCTGAAGAACTGTAATTGCAATTTGATGGTGTCTTTCTAGGAGAGGAGGAAAAAAAAAAAAGTGAACAACTATTCTGAATGAATGTTAACATTCAAAAAAACCCAATGTATAAGGAAATCATAGGAAAATATAGACTGAAAAGGGATAAAGCTTATTTTTAAAAATATTGTTACTGAGTTACTTCATCACACTTTACAGTTATTTGGTAGCTTATCATCAAGTCACACAGCTTATTCTGAAGATACTTGCAATTTAAGACCCACAGAAGACATTCACTAAAGTACTCAGCACTAAAGCATACTAGGACAGAACATATTTAAGAAGCACGCAGGGGAAAATCAGGTTCACAAGAAAATTCACACTGAATTGTATAGAGATCTGTAACAGCATAGGAGTGGTATAAATGAGTTATGAATGGAAACATCTGCATGCAAGCCTGGGAACAGCAGCACAAGGGTTAAAAGAAAAGGTTATGTTTCTAGAAAAACACTCATGTTACTCAGATTTTTATGTCAGGACCTGAAGGCGGCACTGTGACATGGCCAAGTACAGCAGATGCAGTGAAGACCCTGCACTGTGATAAAACCAGAACACAGATGACCTGACTACAGAAAACCTGGCATCCTAACAGGAGGGTGTGGCAAGGGGGTTCCAGCATATCGCATACACCATGCCATGTCCTGGTAGACATGTATTCCAAAGAAGGAAAAACTGACAACAGGCAGCAACCTGCCCCAAGATTTACGAAGGCTGAAGTCAGCAAGATTCTGAAGCAAAGGAGTGCCCCGTATAAGCTGATGATTCCTGAAGAAGACAAAAGATCTGCCCAAAACTTAGTTTTGCCCTGGGCAAGCACAGAACACCAGAGACTCCACGAGGACTTGACAACAGGTGCCCCTCATACTCTGTACTGCACAGGCAATCCTGGCCAGACCACCTGGGCACACACATCTTGCTGCCTATGACTGAAATCTGACAAAGTACAAGTGGATAAAAGCAATTTATCGAGGGATTTTGTAAATAAACGAAAGACCAAAACCAAAGTCTGTAAAGCAAACTCTTACCTGACTTAATGCACCAGTTTCAAAGTTAGTGAGGACACAGGTAGCTGAAACTCAACAGAAGTGTTTGCAGGATCAGAGGCTTATTCATCCTGGCCTTTCTTTTAAATATCATTCAAAAGAAAAAAACCTGACCAGTTAGGTGCGTCAAAGAGTCTGCTTTGCAGATTACCTTCTGGTATATTGGTCTTGAAAATCCTCCAGTACAGGTTCTAAAAAACATAAAAGCTAAACTTTAGAAGAAAAAGCAGACCAGACAATGTTTTAGTGCACAAAATTGTAAAGCAAAATATTACAAGCAAACACAGACCACTAAGAGGGAGCTGTTCCCAATTACACAGCCATGCCTTAAATGAAGTGATCATTACCTATTTTACACGGCTTCCTTGCACTAGAGTGGAATTTGTTTATGTATATACTCTTAAGTATTGTAGAAAAGAATTACCTAATATTGCTGAAAGATTTGAGATCTGTGGTATCTTATCTATGCTCACTGCTTTGCTGGAGTCCAGAAGAGTAGAGTTCTTGTATTTGCCAGTCTCCTTAGAGTGAAAATAACTTCGTTCTGGACATAAAAGATAGAAGTGTGGGCTTCTTAGAGCTGGAATTCATTGAGTTATTAAATTTGTGATGAAACTGAAAGCAATCACATTTGCAAGACAGGAACTTTAAAGCAAAGCAAAAGCGTTGTCTTGGCTCAAACACCCGCAGAAAAGCTTGGGGGGAATTTGACTCAAAGCAGATTTGTTGGTCATCCCCAATAAACAGCTTGTGTCAACAGTGAATGCTTTAAATTTACAGTACGATTCAAATCACACCAGGACCTGATTCACACTGGACTGAAGGACCAGATATACAAATCCCATGTTAAGTACAGGCTGGCTTATAGCAAAGACCCAACCTGGTGAGTCACACCAAGAGAGGCCCCAGCCCTTCTATTGCAGATAGCCCCCCCACATTTTCTACATGAAATAAAGCTCAAAAAATCAGAAGTCTCACCTGAGACATCATCTCTGAATGTTTCAGGGGATGGGCAACTGTTCAGGCTGTCACTAGCACCTGTGTTATAATCTGCAGTTGAATCTCCATCTAAACACTCTAGGAGAAAGGTTGAAACACCCGTGGGAAGAGTCATTCCTGTACCTAGAGAAAGAGGCAAAAAAGGTGGCTACCAAAAAAGAAAAACGTATCACCTTGTACAAGCCATCAGGATTTCCTTATCTAAGTTTCATTCCTGTGATGAGCTAAATATTGTCAAGTCAGTACGTTATACCGATTCGTAATACAGTTAAAGAAACAAATACACAAATTCGTATTTGTATAAACCCAGTTTATACCACAAGCTAACAGAAGACACCTTCCTTGCCCAAGGCTCGCTAGAAGAAGAATTTAGCCTCTGATAAGGTAATTATTAGCCAGGTTTCTTTTCAGAGGGACAAACTATTTAGGCACAAGCTTTTAAAAATGCAGGTTTGAGTAAACTGAAGCGCTCATGTCAACAACTAGTTCTGTCAATGACAAAACCAAGAGCGTGTAACAGGCTGGGCTCAAGACTGTCTCAGGTGTTGTGAGGCTCCTATCCCGCTTCTGCTGCCTACAACAACTCATGTGAACCGAGCCACATGCTGGAATCAGAGGCAGAAGTCCCGCCAGTGGTCTCAAAACTTTTACTTTCTAATATCCCGTAGTCAGAACCAGTACAAGAACAGCGCACCAGTACTTTCATAGAAATATAATTAAAATTGGACAAGGAGTTTTACATTTAGTTTTATACAGATATAAAAATATATTTAACAATGTAACATATTGCTGTTATACTCACTTGAAGTCACTTCAGCATTTTTCAAACTGTCTTTATTTTCAAAGCTGATCATCAGGGATTCCTAAAATTAAACAACCAATATAAATGCATGCATCATTAACAAGTCTGCAATCTGATTTACACTTCTAAAATGCATAATGAATACTCAGTAGTTTGATCCTACAATCTTTTGCTGGACGAGACTTCCAGTGAAGGCACACTGATGTCAATGGAAGGTATGCTTAAGATAGCAGTGGAGAAATGAATTTCCCTTTAATAAATCTTTTATTTGTTTTAGAGGTACAATTCATGCCACTCACTTTCAGATTCCTAGATCTCTCCTATAAATACAAACAATGATGTTGTTTAAGTAGTACATTCTATGAAACTAACCGTTTGCAGGTAATGTAAATAATCGGTGGACTCTTTTAACATTTTATAGAAAAGGTTTCACACCAACACCACTCAAGCCCTCTGCTGCAGCAGATTTCAGTTCAAACACACCTGATGAACCCTTTTCTTGCCCTTGCAGCATTAACTGTCCTGTAGCACTTCTGCTCAGTCACCTCAGAATACTTTGTTCCAGTTGTACTAACACGAGGCAGAGCACAACAGGGACTTGCCAAAGGTCTGCGTCTGAACTAGAAGTGAGCAGTTCTCTGGAATCACACGCTATCGAGGGCTCTTCCACACACAATTGCTCCGGCCTTGCCTTGTTAAGGATAATCAGTATTGGTGTTTTCCCATGCTACCAGTAACTCCAACAGCTTTTATTCTGGCCAAAGACACTGGAAAATGTCACTAAAATACAGGACCAAGTTCAGCCTGAAAAATGTGAGCGCGCGCGCACACACACACACACAACTCATGGGAAATTCTGCTTGATTAGAAAAAGAATTCAACATGAACATTTGGCCTCCATAAATTATGAGCACATAAAGAGCAAGACAGCATTCTCACCTTCAGTGGTACAGTGTTGTCTTCTATTTCCTCTTCATTTTTTTCCAGGTTTGTTGCTTCTTTGACATTCACTTGATTGCTGCAGTTGAAGAACAGGGCTAAGCTCAATACACAGAGCTACGGTGTTCTAGAAGGCGGTGACAAAAACTACAAAATCTCTTTATGAGGTACCAGCAAATCATAGAATCATAGAATGTTTTGGGTTGGAAGGGACCCCTAGAGGTCGTCTAGTCCAACCCCCCTGCAGGAGCAGGGACACCGCTAACTAGGTCAGGTTGCTCACAGCCCCGTCCAACCTGGCCTTGAATGCTTCCAAATAGTCTGACAACCACCAGTTTACTGAGAGTTTAGACTGCCTGCCTCCAAGAGACATCTCATGCAGGCAAACCCAACATAAACGATTAACTAGTGTTAATAACGGTGCGTTTGAACAAATTCTAACAGACCTTTGGTTAGGTGAACAGCTCACTTTGGTGACTTCAAGATTTTCTTTAATCTTTGGTAGGATTTTCACACTGGACTTGCCCTTCAGGTCTAGGGAAGAACAAGTACTTAGTTAAGTGATTTTAGCTTTAATATTGGAATTTAGATTGTTATTTTTAACAGGGCACCTTTAGCTGTTCCCCCTCTTCCATGCCTGTAACAATTTTTGATACTATTATCACTGTAAAATCTGAATTTCCTTTAGTATTTTTACCCAAGCTTTTTTAATCAGTATTATCAAAAAGGCCAAAAAAATAGCAGCCTGCAAGAAATACTTCAGGTGGGTTAGAAACCTCTTGATTAAAAAAGAAAAAGCCCCTTTGGAAGTGACCTTTACTCTACTTAGGTGCAAAGTAGTTTGAGTGTAAGTCAGTTTTAAATTGAGTTTATTAGGAGTATTGTGGGAATTTCTACATAAACTGGTCCTCGTTGTACATAATCCCAAAGGCCACGACGACACAATTACTTCTGAACCAGTGAATTTCAGGGACATATTTTCTTCTCCTAAAAACGATTTTCTAAGTTGTTTAGGTTTGTGTTCTATTCTCAGTAGCTAGAAACAGCCAAACTTTCTGGAATTACACTTTTATGACAGCAAGTCACAAGAGCATCCATCCCACACTAAGAAACGGGCCTGAAGTACCGCACCCCCCGGCACCACGCAGAGCCCGATAGCCGAAACCCCCTGGGAGTTTGGGACAGGACAAGGTAGGAGCAGGACTCAACCCAGCACTCATCCCTTTCCTTCTTTCTTCTGCATACACATACGGATGAGAAGCAAACAGCCCCCAAGGCTGCTGGCTGGACCCAGGCAGGCACGCAAGAGTACTGAACACCTACGGAGCACGAGCCAGCAGAGCAGCATCAAGGCAGAAACTAATGCTCGTTGTACCCTGAAACAGTGAGGTCTTACCTCTAAATTACAGAGGTCAGTGTGGGACCGAGACATTCCCCATTTATTTTAGCAAGTTACACTATTACAGTCTGCCTTTATTTGAGTAACAGAATGGTTTGGGTGGGAAGGGACCCCCAGAGGTCCCCCAGCCCAACCCCCTGCAGGAGCAGGGACACCTTGAACCACATCAGGTTGCTCACAGCCCCGGCCAACCTGGCCTGGAATGGTCCCAGGGATGGGGCCTCCACCCCCTCTCGGGGCAACCTGTTCCAGGCTTTCACCACCCTCGTTGTAAAGAATTTCTTCCTTATATGCACAGTCTAAATCTACCCATATCTTCCCCTCAGACTGCATTTTTTTTTTCCTGTAAGGTCTCCCAATTCCTAAGTCAAGATCTGCTAAGCTGCATTCGACAGGGAGGCTGCTCCTTCTGAGGAACAGCTTGAAGACATTTTTAAAAGAACCCTCTCGCAGGCGGGCAAGGGCTTTTGCCATTTCTGAGGGGAACGATTAGTCGGGGCGGGAAGGCGCCTCACACAGGGACCCCCCCTTTGTTCCTGGCAGCTAAGGCAGAGGGAACGGTCCCGCTCCCAGAGC